CATTTTTTAAAAATTGTTAATTCTGGCTTAGTATATCATTCATTCTTTTACGTTGCTTTCTGCATCCTTCTGTTTTAGTGTATCCTTTGTAAATAGGACATGGCTGGATTTTCTGTTTGTTTTTAGTCTGATAATCTTTACCTTTTAAATTTCTAAAGCAGTAGCCACTAGCCACACATAGCTACGGAGAACTTGAAATGTCCTGTAAGGATAAAATACATACCACATTTCAAAAACTGTACAAAAAAAAAAAGATATGTGTACAAAAGATGTGTGAATAAAAAGTAATATAAATCATACTGATTATATGTTGAAATAACATTTTGGACATCTTGGGTTAAATAAAATATACTGTTGAAATTTATTTCACCCATTCTTATTCTTTCAATGTAGCTACTAGAACACTTAAAAATTAGATACGTGGCTCACATTGTTTATCCAATTAGACAGCACTATTGATTGTGGTTACTAGTTTATTTGGATTCTTTCCTACCATCTTAAATTGTGCTTTTAATCCTTAGTCCTGCATTTTCTGTATTTTTCCCCCACCCCTCTTTTAGGAATTATTCATTAAGGTTTTTTTCCGGTGGCTCACGCCTGTAATCCTAGCACTCTGGGAGGCCGAGGCGGGCGGATTGCTCAAGGTCAGGAGTTCAAAACCAGCCTGAGCGAGACCCCGTCTCTACCATAAAAATAGAAAGAAATTAATTGGCCAACTAATATATATATATATATATAAATCAGCCGGGCATGGTGGCTTGTGCCTGTAGTCCCAGCTACTCGGGAGGCTGAGGCAGGAGGATCGCTTGAGCCCAGGAGTTTGAGGTTGCTGTGAGCTAGGCTGACGCCATGGCACTCACTCTAGCCTAGGCAACAAAGCGAGACTCTGTCTCAAAAAAAAAAAAAAAAAAAGGTTTTTTTTCCTTCTCAAACTATTGTTATTTTTAATTACTTTGAAAGTTATACATCCTATTTGTATTCTTTTGAAGGAAAGTTTAGAAATTTTTTTCTTCCTTTAGAAGTTGTTTTTTGTGGGTTTGATGGTAACGAGCTCTCAGTTTGTGTGTGTTTGTATATGAGCTTATATGTGTCTTAAAATATCTTTATTCCATCCCTATACAGTCCACCCTCTGTATCTGTGGATTTCATATCCATGGATTCAACCAAATTTCTAGTTTGATAGAAAACATTTGAGGAGGAAAAAAGGGTATGTGCTAAACATGTAGAGACGTTTTTCTTGTAATTATTCCTTGAACAATACAATTTACATATTAATAGAATTTACATTGCATTAGGTATAAGTAATCTAGAGATGATTTAAAATATATGGGAAAATACGTGTAAGTTATATGCAAATACTACACCAATTTACATAAGAGACTGGAGCATTGTGGACTTTGGTTTCCACAGGGTATCCCAGAACCAATTACCCACGGAGGAAGAACTTTACTGAAAAGACATAATTCTAGTTTGATTGTTATTTTCTCTTAGTGTTTTATTCCTAGCTTCTGTTGCTATTGAGAAGTCAGCCATCAGTTTAATTATTATTCTTTTTCTGAGATAGGATCTCACCCTGTTTCCCTGGCTAGAGTGCGGTGGTGTCATTATAGCTCACTGCAGCCTCGAACTCCTGAATCAGGGGATGCTCCTGCCTCTGAACCTCCCAAGTAGCTGGGACTACAGGTGTGCGCCACCACGCCCAGCTAATTTTTTCTATTTGTTTTAGTAGAGATGGGATCTCACTCTTTCTTAGGCTGGTCTCAAACTCCTGACCTCAAGCAATCCTCCACCTCAGCCTCCCAGAGTGCTAGGATTACAGGCGTGAGCCACTGCGCCCCACCTAATCATTGGGGATTATCTGCCTTTTTTCTCTGTCTGCTTTAGGTCTCTTTCTTTGGTGATCTGCAGATTTACAACAGTGCGTCTAGGTGTAGATTTCTTTCTCTTTATCCTGCTTCAGTCATTGATGTGTTTCACCAATTTGGGAAAATTGGTGTTATTCTCTCTTTGAATATTGCCTTGTCCGCTTTCTGTCTGCCCTTTTATTCTGGAACTTTTTCATGTTAGCCTTGATAACTTTGAACCCCTCTTTAATTCTTTATATTTTCAGCTCAATCTCTGTGCTGCTGAGGTTGAAATGATTTCTTCTGATCTGTCTTCTAGTTAGTTCACCATTCTCTATTTAATCATGTCCATTCTGTTGTTTAACCTATAGATTGGATTTTTAAATATCAATTATTTTATCTTTACATTCTAAAGTTACATTTGCTTCTTTTTCAAAATTTGACTGGTCTGTTTTGATAGTCTCTTGTTTCCCATACTTTCATTCCCCTTTTTTATTTCTCTAAATATATTAATGTTTGTATTCTCTATATGATAGTTCCAGTATCCAAAGTCTGCAGGTTCATTCTCCAGCTCATGATTTCTGCTGAGTTTGAGATGGCTGGTTTTCTTACTGAGGTGGTGATGTTAATTGTGAGCTCATTAATTATTGGAAAGCTGTGTTTAAAATGCTTTCCTCCTGAGAACGTGTTTGCTTCTGCTGGTCATCTGGTGCCAGCACAGACCCAGGGCCACTACTACCTTTACCTGGGGGTTTTCGGGCCTCAGTGGCACTGTGGGGCCCGGCACCAGACACCCTCAAGTGCTGGCCTGTGGGTGTCAGCTTCCAGGGGAGATTCTTCTCCCCTCTCAGGCAGAACAGGCAGTCTCCTTCTGTGGGGCAAGTTTTAGCTTTGATTTGTATTGTAAGTTTAGTCCACTGGGAACATTGCCCTTTGGGGTACCAGATTTATGTGTGTGGGGGGGGATGGAAGGTTGCCGCCCACCCTGCCTGACCCCAGGCTTTTCACACTCTTAGAGGTAGACCCTAAATGTACACAGACCATTCAAACCCAGGTATCAGGAGATGTCCTTCACTGTAGATTTGGGCTTCCTTACAGTTTCTGGCCTCTGTTTGTTTTCCTTGCATTATTTGCAGGTCATCCATGCTTAAAATATTTTTTATTTCTATACTTCACTCGGCATTTTTAGATGTTCCACACTGAGAGGAATTTCTCTCTTTCTCTGCACATCTAGCCAGCAGTATGCCAGAAATAGAAGAGTCGAATGCTGTTTTTATATCTGTTAAGATGATTATATTGTTTTTGCCATTAATCTGTTAACGTTGTGAATTATAATACCGTATTTCCTAGTGTTATCCTTGAGTTCTCAGGATAAACCCAACTTGTTCATAATATGTTATGTCTTTCGTTTTTTGCAAATACATTGCTGGACTTGATTTGGAGTTCTTTCATGTAGAATCTTTGCATATCTGTTCACGAATGAGATTATTTTATAAATTTGTCTTATACTCTAGTTTGTGTAATTAAAATTATACTAGCCTCCTAAAATGGGATGACAGATATTTGCTCTCAGCATTTTGAAGATATTCTGTTATCTTCTGCTGAAGGAATTCTGCTTTCAGTCTGAATGTCATTCTTTTCTCTTTGGTATCTTTTAAGATTTTTCTCCTTATCTTTGCTATTGCTTCATCTCACGTGAATGTTGTCAAGGTTGGTTTGTTTATTTTTTTATTTTTATTTCCTATTTGGGAATGGATGTGTTCCTTCAAACTATGGACTCATAATGCCTCCAATTTTGGAAAATTCTCAGCCATTATTTCTTTACCTATTGCCATTTACTCATTTCTCTGTTCTCTCCTTCTATGATTTCTACCAGCATATCTTAGAACTTTTCATTCTATCCTCCATGTGTCTTAACTTTTTCATAGTTTTCCTTTCTTTATCTTTCAGTGCTGTACTCTGGGTTATTTCCCCAGATACATTTTCCAAGTCATTGATCTTCTCTTCAGCTATGTCCAGTCTGTTGTTAAGCCATCTATTGAGTTTTTCATTTCCACAATTGCTTTTGTCATTTCTAGAATATCTGTTTAGTTCTTTTTCTCAAATCTGACTTTAAAAAAAATAATTTTCTGTTCTTGCCTTAGAGATTCTGTTCCTTCATTTATTTCTTTGATGATTTTAGACATACTTATGTTACTGTATCATTCACCCTATCCTTTTTTTCTATAGTTCTTGAGAGTGAAATCCGCCATGACTCTCATACCCATTTGGCTCTTCTTCTGGTTTGTAAGTTTTAGGGTTTTTTTTCTGGTTTCAGTTTATAAGGGAGCCCCTTGTGGCCTGTATTGTGGGGGTGCCCCTCTGGGGCAGATTTGCATTTGCCTGTGCCGGGGCCTCCTGAGTTGCCATAGCTGTCAGCTGCTTTTTCTGTTAGTTTCTCAGCTTAGGGTCTCTGCCCCTTGTGGGTGGTTTGACTTCTGTGTGGATATGTGATTCTGATTTATGGGTTACTTTCTCACACATAGCCCTGGACAAGTAGGTGGCTTCCCAGTAGCTCCCTCAGGTAGATGGAGCTTTCCTAGTCCAGATCTCACAGGCTGGACACAGCCTTGTGGCTCCTGGTTTCACGCAGGCCACTCAGCCCCACTCTCAGCCTCACGTGGACATGAAAGCCCAGCCCCTGAGGCCTGTGTCCCCGTCCAGCAACTCTCTGGGCCACTCGCCTTCCACTGTAACTCTTGACTGGACTGGTGTTTTCTCTTCAATTCTCATATCTGGAATCTTTCTTTTGAGCTCACTTAAATACATGTGGGGGGATAAGGTCTGGGGGGATTTGGGGTTAAATTTTATCTGTCATTTCTGTGTTTCAGGTGAGGGCAGGACATCCCCAGAGCAGCCCTGTCTCCCCCTGTGTACCAGTGGCCTAGCCCTGAGAATGCCCTTGCTTATCCCCCCTCCCCCATCACTCTTTCCTACCCTGCCCATGTACCTACCCAGTGCCATGTGACTGCACCCTGGGCCCAGGGGCCCTGTTTGCTATTGCCTTCCCTTCCCACCAGGCTCCTTTGCTGTTTGTTGGACCCTTGTAAACCCCCTGTGTCCATTTCCTAGGGCGAGGGGCCATGATGCTGTGCTCACACACTCTCCCTTTCCTAGGCTCGGGGGCCCCGGTCCCTGCCCCTGACCTCTTAATGCAGATCAAGCAGGAGAGTGAGCTCCAGCTGCAGGAGCAGCAGGGGCTGGGCGTGGAGGCATGGGCAGCCGGGCAGCCAGATATCGGGGAAGAGCCCTGGGGCCTCAGCCAGCTGGACTCCGGAGCAGGAGACATCTCCACGGACACTACTTCTGGTGAGTGGCTGAGATGGAATCAGACGCAAGGAACAAGTTGTCCCTGTGGGCAGAGACGGGGAAAGCTCCAGGAGCACGTGGGGTGTCACGGGCTCTCAAAGCTTCTGTCTGACTAGTTTAGAAGTTCTCTCCACCTTGAGGTCTGGACTGCACCAAGGGACACCTTGTGGCCCCTCTGAGGTCAGTGATGCTGTTCCTGGGCTTTCTCTGGCCTGGGTACCAGAGGCCCCCTTGGTCACCCACACGGTTGCGCTTGGTTCCCCCAGCAGTGGGCGCTGAGGTCCCACTGGTTGCCTCGTATTCAGGAAAGTCTGCACGAGAGATGAGTTGGTGAGCTCTGAGCTTCCTGGTGCCTCAGAGAAGGGCAAAAGACACTGGGTTCAGGGAGGCTGAGTCGTTACCATCACTCAGAAAGGTCCCCGATGGGGATCTCAGGGCTTCACCTGCTCCCCTTGCCCACAGTTTTCTTCCGCCTCTGCCCCCTCGCCCCCACTTCCTCCCCTGAACCTCCGGCTCCCTCTCTCCTCCTTGCAGGCGTCCATTCCAACTTCTCCACCACCATCCCACCCACCTCCTGGCAGGCGGACCTCCCTCCCCACCATCCTTCGTCAGCATGCTCCGACGGGACCCTGAAGCTCAACACCGCAGCCTCCACAGAAGGTACAGGGGTGCGGAGAGCGGAAGGGGAAAGGCCACTGCCTGCCTGGGGGATACCTCAGCCCAGGTGCCCCATTTTTACTGGTGAACTGCCCTGACCTTCCCGCCAACAGGCGTTAGGGTGTCTGTGATCTCTAGATTCCTCGTCCGTCCTGTTCTTTATCTCCTTCCCAAGTCTTAGGCTTTAACAGCCTTTGTTGAGGATGTCCATGTTTCAGACGGTCCCTTTTTCACGTAATGTTAACCAGTCTGTTCTGCTACGCTGATGTCTTGAAGGATATACCTGCTCCCCAGACTCAAGCAACCCATGGCCTCTCTGGCATGGAAGAAAACAAAACTGAACTAGGACCACTTCTTAGATGTTGGTACTTCCAGAGACAGGTGTCTGAAGGCCAAAATTCAGAAGAAAAACTGCCACATTTATCTGTTAGTTTTCTGTTTGCATAGTTTTGAAGGCCAGTCATCTGTTACCTTAAGTACTTTCTGTCATTTTAGCATCCTGAAAATTGTGCTACGATCCCTGCTATAAATAAACCAAGATACCACATCCCACAGCTGGTGTGTGGCAGAGCCGTGGCAGCCCCAGATCCAGCTGGACCCTAAGCCCCTGCTTTGTACCTTGATCACAAGCCACCAGTGGTCAGAATTCCCTTCCTAGGGTACATTCATGGTTAGCCTTAACAGCCGAAGTGAACTTGGGAGCAGGTATGATGGGTGCTTTTCCTGTGACGAAGGTACCAGAACACCAGCAGTGGGCGCTCTGTTGAGCTGCCAGGGGCCCAGGGTTGGGGGCACGTTAAGGGTCCTAAGCAGCTGCTCAGCGGCCAGATGAGAGTGTCAGATCGGTAGCTTTCTGGGCCGATGAGAAACAGAATGATCTGTGTTTTTCTGTGTTTCTCAGCAGATGTAAAAATTGTGATAAAAACAGAAGTCCAGGAAGAGGAGGTGGTGGCCACACCCGTGCATCCTACTGACCTAGAGGCTCACGGGACTCTGTTTGGACCAGGCCAGGCCACTCGGTTTTTCCCTAGTCCTGTCCAGGAAGGCGCCTGGGAGAGCCAGGGCGGTTCCTTCCCCAGCCAGGACCCTGTGCTGGGGCTGCGAGAGCCTGCCCGGCCCGAGAGGGACATGGGGGAGCTCAGCCCTGCTGTGGCCCAGGAGGAGACCCCTCCCGGGGAGTGGCTCTTCGGTGGGGTCCGGTGGGGCTGGAATTTTCGGTGTAAACCGCCAGTGGGCCTGAACCCAAGGACTGGGCCTGAGGGGCTCCCTTACCCCTCCCCAGACAACGGCGAGGCTGTCCTGGACCCCAGCCAGGCCGCAAGGCCCTTCAATGATCCCTGTAAATACCCTGGCCGGACCAAAGGCTTCGGCCACAAGCCGGGGCTGAAGAAGCACCCGGCCGCGCCCTCGGGGGGCCGGCCCTTCACCTGCGCCACGTGCGGGAAGAGCTTCCAGCTGCAGGTCAGCCTGAGCGCGCACCAGCGCAGCTGCGGGCTGCCAGACGGCGCGGGCCCCGGGGCAGGAACGGCGGGCGGCAGCACGCGGGACAGCAGCGCCCTGCGGTGCGGGGAGTGCGGCCGCTGCTTCACGCGCCCCGCGCACCTCATCCGCCACCGCATGCTGCACACGGGAGAGCGCCCCTTCCCCTGCACCGAGTGCGAGAAGCGCTTCACCGAGCGCTCCAAGCTCATCGACCACTACCGAACGCACACGGGCGTGCGGCCCTTCACCTGCACCGTGTGCGGCAAGAGCTTCATCCGCAAGGACCACCTCCGCAAGCACCAGCGCAACCACGCGGCGGGGGCCAAGGCGCCGGCCCGCGGCCAGCCGCTCCCGCCGCTGCCTGCCGCGCCCCCGGACCCCTTCAAGAGTCCCGCCTCCAAAGGACCCTTGGCCTCCACAGACCTGGTGACCGACTGGACTTGCGGCCTCAGCGTGCTGGGACCCACTGACGGCGGGGACCTGTGAGCGCCCCGGCCGCGCGTGTACGAAGCCCGGTTTGCGGACAGCAGGGTGGCCTCGGGAGCCCGGAGGCGGAAACGGAGACTGGGGAACCCAATTTCCAAGTTGCCAAACTGATCACTGGAAAAAGAGAAACTATCAAACAATGCAGCTTACACCTCTAAACAAAGTAGAATTCTCTGATTGTGAAATATGAGCACCGTAGAATTTTAAGTAATTTAATTGCAAACCTGGTTTTGGTTTTTTGTTGTTTTTTTTTTTTTTTATCCTCGAGGAAAAAGCTGGAAAATAGTAGTAGTGCCAGTTTAAATTTGGTAGCACACTTTCGGTTTTCAGGGCGTGCGTTTCTGTTGCTGTGTTTCACCGAGTCTCGTCGTGAGTGTGTTGGAAGGTTGGCCAGCCGAGGCGCCCCGGACCCCCCGACCCCTGGGGATCGGGTCCTGCCCCCCACTCAATCCTGTGGGCGGTGCGCCGGGACCCTGCGCTGTCCACGCGGGCTGATCTGGGCCTGGAGCGCCAAGCCCTGGGCAGTGAGGCCACGCGGTGCCCGGAGCCATCTCAGCGCAGCAGCAAAGACCGTCCGGGAGCAGCAGTTCCGTTCCCCAGCTTGCCTCCATCCGAAAAGGCCCCCCAAAAGTGCTGGCCCCAACTCTTCCCTATTCGGGCCACCTGCAGTACCAGTACCTCTCCAAAGGGAACTTGGCAGTGTCCCCTGCTGTGTGACTCCCGGCCTCGCGAGGGAGGGTTGTCAGAAACCATAGTGTTAGGTCTGGAGAGGAGAAGAAACCGAGGCTCAGGGAGCTGAACCCTCAAACATCTAGTCACCCGCGGAGCGGGAGCGAAGCCCGGCCTGCCCACCCCACCCGGGGCTGCGTCCCACTCGCACAAGATACCTGTTTCCTGTCGCCTCTGCGCAGCGACTTGTTATTTTCAAAACACTTCCGCCTCGCCTCTCATGTGATCGTTACTGTGACTTTGGGAAGCAGCGGGGCAGGGATTTCTTTTGAGAGATGAGGAAATAAACCGCTCCACGGGACACACCTCAGCCTCTCGCTGCGGGTACACAGTTGGCGCGCCGGGAGCTGGGGAGAGCCCGGGTGAGAGACAGCTCATTCTCCCGGAACATCGGTTTGGGGGAGAAAAGCTTTTTTGCCCTCTTAAAAGATTTGGCCTAAGTCAGATCATCAGAGGAACTCTCGCTTATAGCAGCTGCTCCTGCTGCGCACCAGCCTCCTGTGCATGTGAGCCCGGTCGTCCGCTGGGCATTCCAGAAAGCACAGCCCCGGAGGCCGGGTGACGGACAGCGGCCTCCTCCTCCTTGCGTCTGGTATCTTAAAGGTGGGCCCGGATGTCTTGGTTCTGCCGCAGTGCTGTCCCGACCACACAAACATCCATTCCTGTTCTGTTGAAGCAGCCCCTGGTCCCCTTGCCCAAAACGGGCAACTTGTCCTGCCTGCGCAGGGGGAGGCCATGGCTGCTGTCCGTTCAGCTCCCTCATGCATACTTCTATTAGGCAATAGACTAGGTAAGAAAATTGTTTCTATGTACTGTATATTTTGTACCTGTTTACACTGCTAATATTGATATAACTGATATTTTGAAAAACAAATAAACAGAAAACATCCTGTTAAAATAAAACCTAACCAGCACCAAGCGGTTTGGTGGGTCCCCTTCTTGGACCTGCGTCTTCGGGGCTGACGCGGTGAACACACCCTCCACGGGGCTGTCTGGGCAGCTCCCTCGACTCCCTCCTGCACTCGCGGCCTCGGACACGGAGCGGTGACCGTCCTGGAGAAGTAGGAGTAGAAGATTCCAGAGAAGTTTGAGTTTGTGGAGATAAACTGACTTTTGGAGGGAGAACCAAAATATATCAGATCACTTTGCAACAGAATATAAACATGGTTTCCGTCATGGTTTGATATGATTTGAGATCATATGTATGAAGTTGGGAAGGTCTGGGAGAAGAATCGCAGAATATCAGAGAAAAACGGATGTTGGATGGTCTCTCCTTGTATCTTTTCTTGGCTGGGCAGGAGGTTGTGATCCAGGTCTCGGAGCAAAGTCCGTCTGATGGTGGTTGAGCCAGGCTAACACCCAAATTCCCACCAGCTAGAGTTAAAAAATGTTAACATTTTATCTCGTGTTTTCGGTCTTTCTCATTTTGGTCGTAATCTTTTTAGGAAAATGGAAATGTATAATCCACCTTAATTTTTGCCATGGAGGGCATGGGAGTGGGACGTGGAGAAGGGCCAATGGGGATCTCCTCCCTCGGGGGCATGACACCACACTCCTGACCCCTCTGCCACACTTCTTATCCACCTTCCCCAGGGGATGTGTCTCCAGCTGGGAAGCCAAGCAGGGCAGCCTCTGGCATTTGCCAGCTCAGGACACCTCTCTTTACCCCACCCCTTCCCGTGCTCTCTTGCACCCTCACCTCCCTCTCACTCACACTGTCTGCACATAGGAATCTTGACTGTCATGGCCAGAACCCCAGACCATGGCCCCCTAAATGGAGGATGCCTTGGCCTGTGACTTCGCTGCCACTCACCATGGGGAGGAGCGGGTGTGGGCATGTCTTTACATGTGCTGTTCCTGCTGCATACCATGTCCTCCCTGCCCTTGCCCCTGGGTCACCTGGTACACCCTGCCTTCCCCTCAGGTCCAGGCTCAAAGCATCACCCAGCCTCCCTGATCTCTGTAGGTGGAACTGATGCCTCTCCTGTTTTTCCCACGAACCCTGCTCAGACTCCTTCTGTCATCTTATTAATATTAGGCATCTCCTTTACTTTGCATACGTGTGTAAAAGTTGCCTGTTGAAAAAAGAGGCAATAGACTCAGAAATCATAAGGAGGTCTTTATTCTTGACAGCTAGAAAGTGAAGTTCCTGATTTTGGCGTAATTTGTCAAGTTTCTTTTAACTCAGAGTGCTGAGTTATACCTGATTATTTAAAAATAATTACAAGCACAGTTTAGACATGAAACATATACACTTAAATATTTTTTGTTTTATAAAAATTTTCATCAGAAAGCAATAAATGCAAAAATTACAGAGTGTAGGCTGGGCGCGGTGGCTCACGCCTGCAATCCTAACACTCTGGAAGGCTGAGGCAGGCGGATCGCTCGAGGTCAGGAGTTCGAAACCAGCCTGAGCAAGAGCGAGACCCCATCTGTACTACAAATAGAAAGAAATTAATTGGCCAACTAATATATAGAGAAAAAATTAGCCGGGCATGGTGGCGCATGCCTGTAGTCCCAGCTACTTGGGAGGCTGAGACAGCAGGATTGCTTGAGCCCAGGAGTTTGAGGTTGCTCTGAGCTGGGCTGACGCCATGGCACTCACTCTAGCCTGGGCAACAAAGCGAGACTCTGTCTCAAAAAAAAAAAAAAATTACAGAGAGTATGATCTGAACACACTATGGTTGTAAATGTCTGTAAATTCCAGATAGGATCTAATAAACATAGTTTTAAATATAGAGCTAAGATAGAATGAAATGAAAGGAAACCCTAATGTGCCCAAAATGAGGGCAAAACTGTACACTCAAATTGTAAACATGTGAATCCCTGCTATGCCCCCCCACAGTGGGGTGAGGAGAAGGACATGTAGGCACTGGGCCCATCAAGGTGAAAACCGACACGGCCACATGGAGCCCCTGGCAGGGCTCATCTTCAGGAAATACATGGTTCAGAAGAAAATGCATCCCAACACCAAAAGATGATGCATGCGTCGGATCCTCTGGGAAGCAGACACTGAAACAGAGTTTGAAGTCCGTTATTGGGGGATAATGCTAGTGGAAAATCAAAGGGAGGAAGCAGGATTTTGCATCAAGTCTCAGGCCGCGTGGCGGGGCCAATACCTGTGAAAGGAAAGAGGCAGGAAAGCAGGATGTTGAAGCAGAACCGAAACCAAGCAGGAGGCAGGTCTGACAAAGTCCCAAGCCAAACTGACAAGTGGCTCTTAGAACAAATGTTGTCCATTAGAGGCGTCTCGTGTTGGGCAGAAATGGCCAGGTGCTAGGACCCCACGTACTGTCCTTGGCTGGGGCTGCCCAAAGGAGCATGAAAACCAAGGTATTTCCAGAAGGTGTTCACAAGTGGAGCTGTCAGTTCATGGTGCTTCTTGTAGCTGAATGGTAAGTTCTTGGATGAGAAGATGTGAGCAGCATAGCTCCATGGCTGCCACACATAACAGAAATCTTATCTGTCTTGGGCTGGGATCTGGGTGATGGCAGTCGGGGAGGGGGTGATACCTCCCTTGAGAATTCAAAACCACAGGTCCTACATCATGAAAGTTTGGGATTCGATTTACATTATCCACGGGGCTGATAAATTGACATAAAAATTGAACCTGCCAGTGACAGCACTCAAGGTTTCTGGCTGAAGCAAACTCAAAAATAGGAGGAACCATCCCACAAGCCCTGCTCAGTGTAAACTCACAATCACACATTGCCAAACCCACAGGGAAAAATCCACTGTTAGTAAGAACACAAACGGAAGGATTAACGTTGAAGAACTTGAATTTATGTAAAGATAATCCAAAAGAGACTATAACATGAGTATTTTTATAATGTATAAAACTAATAGAGGGTAGAAAATGGAAGAAGCAGCATGAAGAAAAGCATAATAAATAAAAACCACCAAACCCTAAGAAAAATCAATATGCTATGAAAAAAGGTAACATTTGAAAAAGAAACCAACAGAATTTCTAGAAATGAAAAATACGGTTACTAAAGTTTTAAAAAATGGACTGGTTACATAGGAGGACTAGATACAGCTTAAAAGAATTAGTTAAACCAAAGATAGATTAAAAGTAGCCAGAATAAAGGACAGAGAGAAAACGTTGGATGGAAACATGTTAAAAGATCGATGAGGAAAACTTAACTATATATCTACCCAGTCAGATGGTCTCATCTAGAAAGATATTATTAGGAAATTAGGAGAAAAATATTTTTTAAAAGAAGGGCTAACAATTTTTAAGAATTGATGAAAAACATAAATCCTCAAATTTAAGAGGCATAAGTCCTGAGTAAGGTAAGTAAAGGAAAAGCCACATGTAAAAATATTATGATAAAACTATATGCCTCAAAAAATAAGAGGAAATCCTAAAGCCAACTAGAGAAAAAAAACATATTGGCATCAAAGGAAAGCTATTAGATTGACAATAGACTCTTCCATGATTAAATAAATAAATAAATAAAGCCAGAGGTCAGAAGACAGTGGACTAACACCTACAAAGTGGTTAGGGAAAATAACTGCCAACCTAAATTTTATACCATGATCAACTATCATATAAGAGCAAAACCAAAGCTGCTTTCAGAAAATAAAAATGGAGATATTCCAGATGTGCATCATCTGGGGGATGGTCATGCTTGAAGCTCTGACTCCAGGGGGGAGGGGAAGCATGGGCAATATATGTAACCTTAACATTTGTACCCCCATAATATGCTGAAATTAAAAAAATGGACATATTTCATTTATACACCCTCACTGAAAGAAACTACTAAGGACACCAGGCATGGTGGCTCACGCCTGTAATCCTAGTACTCTGGGAGGCTGAGGCGGGTGGATCGTTTGAGCTCAGGAGCTCAAGACCAGCCTGAGCAAGAGCGAGACCCCATCTCTACTACAAATAGAAAGAAATTAATTGGCCAACTAAAAATATATAGAAAAAATTAGCTGGGCATGGTGGCACATGCCTGTAGTCCCAGCTACTCGGGGGGCTGAGGCAGGAGGATCACTTGAGCCCAGGAGTTTGAGGTTGCTGTGAGCTAGGCTGACGCCACGGCACTCACTCTAGCCTGGGCAACAAGAGTGAGACCCTGTCTCAAAACAAAACAAAACAAAACAAAATCTACTAAGGACTATGTTCTGGGAAGAAGAAACTTGAACCCAGTAGGAGAAGTATGTAAAAAGAAACAATGATGAGAAAGAAAAAACAAAATCAGTAAACATGAGTAAATCTTTACCTGCACTCACTTCATAAAATAATAATAAAGATGAATTTGGGAGATACAAGACAAAATGGAACTAAAATACTAGTGAAAAATATGTAAAAAGGATAAAGTATGATTTAAATGAAAGCATTCCATGGTCCTTGTGATTTCAAGAGAAGGGCAGAAATATCAATTACATTTAGACTTTGTGAGTCAAACATACATGTTCAAAATGTTCATTAAAACCATTAAAAGAATAGAAGTACAGTGGTTTCTAGCAGAGGGAGAAAAGTTGAATAAAGAAAACTTGATTAATCTAATAGAAGGCAGGGAAAGGGGGGAAGAAGCAAAAGATTACAAAATTAAATGGTAGAAAAACCAAATGTATCTATATTCACTATAAAGGAAATAAACCCTCTAGTTGAAAACAAATTGTCAGATTATAAAATAAAACAAAAATCTAGGAGTATTAATTCATTGGAAAATAGACAAAAAAATCATTTTGCTTTCTCCAATAACTACCCTGTGATTGTGCTACATCAGCCTTTCTTTATTAACCGGCTATTGTTATACCCTATGACATCTTGTCAAAATCCCAGTGCTGTAATTCATCACTTTCTATTATCAGGAAAGTCTCATTCCAGTCTCAGTCTGAACCATATTTGAGCTTTGACGTGCGACTCCATCCAGAGCTCATGTCCCCGACTCCAGCTCAGGCCAGGTC